GGAGGGAGGGAGGGAGGGAGGGAGGGAGAGAGAGAGAGAGGGAGGAGCATCAAATTTATGTCCTTAAGTGAGTTTTGCCTCCGTTTACGACCTCCCTCCCCCCCGCTGTTAAGCGAATCGACGCCATTGTTAAAATGAGTAACCCAGTCGTTAAGCAAATCCAGTTTTCCCACCCACTTTGCTGGTCAGAAGGTCGGCCAAGGGGACGCTGCGACCGTCGTAAATGTGAGTCAGCTGCTAAGCATCCGAATAGACATCACATCACCACGGGGTGTGTGTGTGTGTGTGTGTTCTGCAACGGTCATTAAGTGTGAAAGTCTTTTTTTTCCAGTGCTGTTGTAACCCCGAAGGGTTCTACGTACCTTCGGGGGCTGCCCAGACCCCCGGGACTCTCTGCCCGCTGGAGACGGGGCTGTTCTCAGGGAGCAGGTGGCCAATGGCCTCCAGAGGTGGGTGGAGCTGTAAGGTGCACTGCAGGTGAGTGTTTTCCATCACCATCAGGTGCTTGTTCTCTGAAGCAGCCAAGAAGGGAGGGAGGGAGGGAGGCAGAAAAGGAAAGAGGAGGGAGGGAAGGAAAGAAGGAAAAGAGGGGGAGGGAAGGAAAAGGGGAGGACAGAAGGAAAAGAGAGGGTGGAGGAAAGGAAAGTAGAAAAAGAAAGAGGAGGGAGGGAGGGAGGAAGGAAGGAAGAAGGAAAAGAGAGGGAGAAACGAAGACAGCAGGGAAAAGGGAAGAAGGAAAAGGTAGAGAGGGAAGAAAAGAGGAAGGGAGGATGGAAGAAAAAGAGAGAGGGAGGGCGGGAGGAAGGAAAGAAGGAAAAGAGAGGGAGGGAAGAAAAGAGGATGGAAGGAAAAGAGAGAGGGAGGGAGGGAGGAAGATAGAAAAAGGAAGAGGAGGGAGGGAGGGATGAAAGAAGGAAAAAAGAGGGAGAAACAAAGAAAGCAGGGAAAAGGGAAGAATGAAAGAAGGAAAAGATAGGGAGGGAAGAAAAGAGGAAGGGAGGGTGGAAGGAAAAGAGAGAGGGAGGGAGGAAGATAGAAAAGGAAAGAGGAGGGAGGGAGGAGGAAATAAAAGTAGAAAAGGAAAGAGGAGGGAGGAAGAAAGGAAGATAGAAAAGGAAAGAGGAGGGAGGGAGGACAGAAGGAAGGAAAAGATAGGGAGGGAAGAAAAGAGGAAGAGAGGATGGAAGGAAAAGAGAGAGGGAGGAAGGAAGGAAGATAGAAAAGGAAAGAGGAGGGAGGAGGAAAGAAAAGTAGAAAAAGGGGAGGGAGGGAGGGATGAAAGAAGGAAAAGAGAGGGAAAAATGAAGAAAGCAGGGAAAAGGGAGGAAGGAAAGGAAAAGGTAGAGAGGGAAGAAAAGAGAAGGGAGGATGGAAGGAAAAGAGAGAGGGAGGGAGGAAGGAAGATAGAAAAGGAAAGAGGAGGGAGGATGGAAGGAAGGAAAAAAGAGAAAGCAGGGAAAAGGGAGGGAGGGAGGAGAGAACGACAAAGAGGGGGAAGGAAGAAAAGGGAGAGAATGGGACACAATAAATTAAACCGGCATCAGGACAATTCCAAGCCAGGTTTCACCCGTTCCGGACGGCTGCCTTTAGCCTGGCCCTAAACGCCCAATGTTGGGCTGGCTATTCCGAAGGGCGTCCGTTCCGGAGAGCTCCGCTGGCTGAGCTCAGGTGGAGAGGGGCTTCCCTGCGGGCGGAGTGGGGCACCTCCAGGGCAGGGACTCGCGCAGAGACGCAGCGGAGGAAAAACGGGCAAGGGACCCTCTCTTGGCCCATGCCAGAAGGAAGGAATTGCTGCCACCGGAGAGAGAAAACGGGATCCTCTTGTATCCGGAACCCAGCGCTTCATGATTTCCCTTCTCCTCCTCCTCCTCCTCCGCTCCTCCCACCCTGAATCATCCCCTCTCCCCTTTCTCCAATCCCGCAAAGGGCTAGGCGCCCTGCCACTTACTCTCGATGGGCTCCAGGAGCAGCGGGTGCAGGAGGGCGCGGGGAGTCCCCTGATGGACAGGGAGCCTGCGGAGGGAAGGGAAGGGGAGAAGAAGCGGGGTTGGCGATTGGGCCAAAATTACCCAGCCTTGTTTTCTGCCTAAGGCGGGACTAGAACTCCCAGGCTCCCGGCAGTTGGCCCAAAGCCACCCAGCTGCCTTTCCTGCCTAATATGGGGCTAGAATTCACTGTCTCCTGGCGGTTGGCCCAAAGTCACCCAGTTGGCTTTCGTGCCTAAGGTGGGACTAGAACTCCCAGGCTCCTGGTTATGGCCCAAAGTTACCCAGCTATCTTTTCTGCCTACAGGAGGACTAGAACTCCCAGGCTCCTGGTGATTGGCCCAAAGTCACCCAGCTGGCTTTCGTGCCTAAGGTGGGACTAGAACTCCCAGGCTCCTGGTTATGGCCCAAAGTTACCCAGCTATCTTTTCTGCCTACAGCAGGACTAGAACTCCCAGGGTCCCGGTGATTGGCCCAAAGTCATCCAGCTGGCTTTCATGCTTAAGGGCAGACTAGAATTCCCAGTCTCCTAGTTATTGGCCCAAAGTCAGCCGGCTGACTTTCATACCTAAGATGGAACTAGAACTCACCATCTCCCGGCAACCGGCCGAAACTCACTCAGCCACCTTCCCAGCCTAAGGCAGGAACTAGAACTCACCATCCCCTAGTTTCTAGTTCAGCACTTTGCCGTCCACCCCGAGATATAGCGTTAAATCCCACCCCGCCTGGCAGAAGGGCGCCTGCTTTTAGAGCTTTTAGCCGAGTGATCCCTCGCCACCGATAAGATTCCCGAAGCTAACCAACGTACCCTTTGCCCGTCGAGTTCCAAATCAGCGGCTCGGATTTGCCGTTAAACAACCGGAGGAACCCGAAGCCGCAGCCGACTTCCCGGGGCGCCGCGTCCTGTCCCTTGGCGGTCGCCACGATTTCTAGCACCATCAAGACGCCCGGGTGGCCCACAGGGGTGAGGAAATACACCGTCTACGAGGGCAGGCGGAGAGAAAGGGTGAAGGAGAGCAAAGGCTTCCGACTTTGCTGCCGTCTTAACGCTTCCGATCTCGCGGCTGCTCGTTGGCGAGACGGTCTCGGTGACGGGAAAGATTAATCATCCCGCCTGACAGCTTCTCCAGGCCTGACACTCTCGCGCCTCCGGCACAAGTCGCAAAGCGGTTCGTGATTGTGTGTCATTCCAGCTCATCAGTTTCCCTCCCGGCAGGAGAACAGATGCCCAACCCCACGCGGAAGGTGCCCAGGGGATCTCCGGGCTGGCTCCGGTCAGCCGGGGAGCGCGAAGTCAAAACCACCCCTGCGAGGAGAGCTCGAAAACCCCCCGAATTGCGAAACCTTGAATAATCCTCGGGTTACAACCACAACGGAGCCCAAACTTTCTCCCACTGCCGAGTGACACACACCCGTTAAGCGAGTTGTAGCCCACTTTACGACCTTCCCCCGCCACACTGGTCGAGCGAGCCACCGCTTAACGTGAAGCTCGGTGAGTCACGTGGTTGTTAAGTGAAGCTGCCTTCCCCTTCCGACTCTGCGGCTAAGAGGGGATGACGTGACCCTTGGACGCTGCAACGGTCGTAAGTATGAGTCGGTTGATTTTTTTTTTTAAAAAAATCCTTAAATGAGAGGGATCGCCACAGGATTTCCGGAAGGACGCTTGGATTAAAATAAAGCCTGGGCTGCTGTTTCCTTGAAAAATTAAAATCGAAAAGCCCCCCGAGTGGACGCACGGATGATGCTCGGAGGGAGGGCAGGTTTAGCGGAGTGGGAAAAAAATGGCAGCTTTTTCCCGCCATTTGTGGAACAAGAGCGCCCTCTGCTGTTGGGATGGAGAAGCGCACCTTCGACCGCTGGATCTTAGGAGATTTTTTTTTCTTAAATTTTTTATTTTATCAATTTCATATATACATTCACAATTATATGATCTCATAACTGTTATTAATAATATGTATTTATAACAATTTTTTCCCTACAGTTGACAATATACTTGAAAATTGCTTTCTTACCATCCCATAGATCCATCTTATCTTACAACGGTCCTACTTCTTCTTCCCTCCCTCCCTCTTTCCTTCCCTCGTTTCTTCTCTCCTACTCCCCTTCCTTCCCTCATTCCTTCCCTCCCTCCTTCCCCCTTCCCTCCCTCCCTCCTTTCTTCTCTCCTTCCCTCCTTCCTTCCTTCCCTCCTTTCTTCTCTCCTTCTCTCCTTCCTTTCCCCTTCCTTCTCTCCTACATTCCCTCCTTCCTTCCCTCCTTCCTTCCCTCCTTCCTTCCCTCCTTCCTTCCCTCCCTCCTTCCTTCCCTCCTTCCTTCCCTCCCTCCTTCCTTCCCTCCTTTCTTCTCTCCTTCTCTCCTTCCTTTCCCCCTTCCTTTCCTCCTTCCTTCCCCCCTTCCTTCTCTCCTACATTCCCTCTTTCCTTCCCTCCTTTCTTCTCTCCTTCTCTCCTTCCTTCCCTCCTTTCTTCTCTCCTTCTCTCCTTCCTTCCCTCCTTGCTTCCCTCCCTCCTTCCTACCCCCCTTTCTTCTCTTTCTTCTCTCCCTTCCTTCCTTCCTCCTCTTTAGGAGATTCTTATAGGAAGCTACAGAGACATTTTTTTCCCAATTCTGGAGAAAATCCTTTTCTATTGTTTTTTTAAGGAGGATATTCTGCAGGGAAGAGGTTAATTTCCATGCAAGGGAAGGAGAGCTATGTTTATTGTGCTTGTTGGGAGAATTTTAATCTTTATTTTTATTTTGTTTGTCTTTTCTTTTCTTACTCTGTGTAAGCCGCCCGGAGTCCTCCGGGATTGGGAGGCCTATAAATTCAATAAATTAAATATTAAATTAAATTAAATTGTCTGGAAATTGATCTCCTGCCCGCCTAGCCAAGAGGGGACTCCCAATACGTAAATCCAACCATATAAAACAATAAAATATTACAGTCATCTATAGGAGCGCTTCGTTCTGGCTCTCGGCAAAACCATCCAATAGTGGAAAGGGGGGTGGGTGGGAATGACAATGGCGTTTGTTTTACAACCACTGGGTCCACTTAATGACGGCCTCAAAAGAAGTTATAAACTCAAACACGTGGCCAAACCATTTTACGACGTACGCCCATAATTGAGAGACTCCAGGATGTTTAGGACTAGCCGTTGTTCAGTTCCCCCCACCCCATCTGAAAGTTGCCACGGTTGAGAAAAGCTAGTCTAGCTAGCTAGTCCACTAAGCTGGGGGGGGGGGTCTCCCCATAATTTGGGGGGTGGGGTGGAAGACCCATTGGCCCTTACCTCGTTGAAGACCACGGAAGGCAGCTGTCCCGGGACGGATTTCAAAGGCCTCGAGGGGCTTCTCCAGGTCCTGCCGAAGAACTGGCGGTAGGCCAGGTCGAAGAGCGAAAGGCGCAGCTGGAAGGCCACCTCCACCATGTTCTCAAGAACTTTCTGCAGAGAGTTGGAGGACCAAGGAGGGGGCGGTTAGCCCCACAGAGAACCAGAGGAAATATGGAAGTAGGGAAATATGGAATCTCAAAGAAAACGGCTGCGAGGGGAAGGGAAGGAATTGTCCCGAGTCGATCAGGTCTGGCTTTGGGCAATCCACGGGGAGGATTTGGGTTGACCTGGGGGTCACCCAGGTAGGAGGAAGCCACGTTGGTCACGCTTGGTCACTTTGAGAGGGGTGGGCTTCAACTCCCAGAATTCAGGAAGGAGGGAGGGAAATGAAAGAGAAGGAAGGAAGGAAGGAAGGAGGGAGGGAGGAAATGAAACCAGAAGAGAAAGGGTGGGAGGGAGGGAAGAATTAAGGAAAGAAGGAATGAAAGAGGAGGGAGGGAAGAAAGGAGGGAGGAAGAAAGGAAGGAAGGAAAAGGGGGAAGGAAGGAAACCAGAAGAGAAAGAGTGGGAGGGAGGGAGGGAAGAATTAAGGAAGGAAGGAATGAAAGAGGAGGGAGGGAAGAAAGGAGGATGGAGGGAGGGAGGAAGAAAGGAAAAAGTGGAAGGAAGGAAANTTCCCCAGCCAGCATTCGCTGGCTGGGGAATTCTGGGAGTTGAAGTCCGGACATCTTCAAGTTGCCAAGGTTGAGAAACACTGATTTAAACACTCACATATGTGCAATATGCAAATATAAATGTGCTATGCACATAAACACACTTAGAAACTGTGGTCCCCTTTTCCCGCATGAAACACATTTCCCATTTCCCCGCTTGCGCTAAACCCCCATTGTAACCTGGTTAAGCCCCCATCCTGGTTCTCCCCAGGAAAGTTTACCATCCTTAGGGAGCCCCCCACCCCTATTTTCACCCTTATGCCCCTAGGTAGCCCCACCCCCCAATAATCTCACATGCTTTTGAGTCCTGTTTCTTTTAAGCTATTTTTTTTGGGGGGGGGGCTTTTATGAGCAACCTAATCCCCCTCCAACTCAGCACCCCCAATTTTGGTGTCCTGGGAGGGCAGGGAAAAAAAAAACACTCTGCACGTGCTCAGAGGCACCCTTGCTTCCCTCTCTCTCAGCTCTGGGGGCGGGGCTTCCTGGGAGGAAGTGGGGGGAGGGGAGGCCGGAAAGGGGGTTCTAGGGAGCAATGGGGGGGCGGGACAAAGAGGGCCCCCAACTCCCGCCGGCCAATCAGCGCGCTCTCCCAAAGGGGAGGGAGCCGAGTGCGGCGGCCTCGAGCCTCCCGAGGGCGGAGCCGGAGGGAGCCAATCAGCGGCCGCCATTCCTTCCTGTCTCTCTTTCCCCCCCCCCAATGGGGAGAGGCGAAAAAGGGCTCCCCGATTTTCCTCCCGCCCCTCGCCTAACCTGCCGCTCCTGCGCTCCCCTAGTCTTTCGGCCGGCGGCCGCCATCTTGCTCGGGATGTACCAACCGCATCGCGGGGGAGGCGATGCCATAAACCTACTACTCCTCAATTAAATCATCTCTGAAAAAACAGGCTCTTTGGGGCTCCCTATACTCTTCTCTAAATTTTAACGTCTCCCCTCTCCCCCCTTTGCCGTTTTGATTCCTTTCCTCCCTCACGATACAGCTTGTGTCTTCCTTTCCCTCCCCCGAATTCTGGTAAATGGTTCGACCCAGCAGGCGGGCCGCCCGCTCGCTGTTGTAGCAAAGCCGTTGCCAAGGCGACGAAGAAAGGGGCGTGGTCCTATGCGGAACAAAAGCCCCGCGCGCGGGAAAGGAGGTGAAAGAAGACACGTGGATGCGTTGGGCTGGCTTTCTGGTCGTGTGAATGCGGACGTTGGCTTTCGAGCGTTTCCTGATGAATTTATGCGGCCCGCCTCTTTCGGGAAACCCGAGATGATAGCCGTGGCTCACTTTTACTTCAGCACAACAACCCTCCAAGGTAGGGCCATAGCGAGCTTGCAAACCTTGATTTGTGGTTTGGAAATGTTGGCTTAGCCCAGCCAATGGTCCTTTATGCCGTGCATCTTAGTTTAGCAGAACTCCAGACCTGTCTTTTGCAACTGAGCCAATTTTTATGTCAACTCCCAGAAATCCACCCATCATAAAAAGTGAGATTGGAAAAAAAAAATCAGGTAGTCCTCGACTTATGACCACAATAGAAGCCAAAATTGATGTCGCTAAGTGAGACATTTAAGCGAGTTTTGCCCCATGTTACGACTTTCCTTGACATATATGTTAAGTGAATCCCTGCAGTTGTTAAATTAGCATCACGGTCGTTAAGTGATTCTGCCTCCCCCCCTTGATTTGGCTCCTCCGAAGGTCACAAAAGGCGATCATGATGTGACTCACTGACACTGCGACCGTCATAAATATGAAGCACTTGCCAAGCGTCTGAATTTTGATCACGTGACCATGGAGATGCTACAATGGTCATAAGTGTGAAGAGTGGCCATAAGTCCCTCTCTTCAGTGCAGTTGTATCTTCAAACAGTCACTAAACAAATCGTTGTAAGTCGGGAATTACCTGCATGGAAATCGCACCACCAGGAATAACAGCCTCTAATTTAATGGTTATTGGATTTGCTAACAAAGGCTATTAACCTTGATACCTTCTTATCATGGACCAAAACTGGCTTGTTTTCAAAGCTGGTAAAGAGGGAAGCCACTCTCCCCCTCTGTGTCCGTCATTCACCTTAGACCCTCCCCAATTCAGAAGTTGAACAAATCCCCGCTTTAAAGCTCTTCCTAGGACTTAACTATGGCTTACTGAATAAACTGTAATGAACTGCATTCATAACAGCCACCTATTAATCCAAACAAACCATGTTTCCTGGGGTTTAGTTACTAATATAGGGTTATTCTCAGCCAAGTACAGAAGTTTCCATTTGAATTTTAGCGAAATTATGGCTGGTGTATTTTGCATGGAGGAAGATTCACACTCAGTAATGTGATACAAATTATTCGCTCACTAATCGGTGAGGTGCAAATCAAGCAGGCATCCAAACCACGATTTGTCGCAACAGGGGATACAGGTTAAGCCTGAAGTAGGCCTACATCTCAACCAGGGTTTGACCAAAAACAAAAAACACCCTCCAGGGGCCGGGATCATACTTTGTCCTCATTCCCACAACCCATGAATGGGGGTCAAACTCGGCATCATTTTAGCGACACCCCCAGAATTCCACAGGATGGCATCCTGGCTTTTGCCTGACACCTAGAGTTGAGGCACCAATTTGTGGTGGCTTGAGTTGTTGGCCAGTTTTACAAACTTGGGTAAATCCAGGCTTGTGAACAAAAGCCGTCAAGGATCATGGCTTGATGGCCTGTACCCCACATTTGGCGTTTAGACAATAGTTTATGGAAGATTGAGTCATCGTTGGAGACAAAGTTTGGGTTTGCCAACAAGCCAGAAAAAGACAATGGCTTGTAGGGCTCCGGCATGGCTTAAACCTGATAGAGTCTAAGCCATGGTTTGTAAGAGGATCGAGTTCTTGTCTGGTTTTGCAAACTAGGGCCAAAGCCAGCTTACAAACAAGCCCTAAAAGATCATGGTTTACAGCACCCCAAATGCCCAGGATGCCATCCTGGCCTGAACTGGCCACCTAAAACCATAGTTTTGGGGTGGATCCAGCCATTGGTCAGCTCTCAAACTAGGATCAAACCTGGCTTGAAAAAACCGAACCCCAGACGGTTTACAGAACCCCATCCTGGCTTGTGGCCGGTGTAAACCATGGCTTGTGTGGGATGGAGCGCTTGGCTAAGGCAGTGTTTCTCAACCTTGGCCACTTGAAGATGTCCGGACTTCAACTCCCAGAATTCCCCAGCAGTGGTTAGGACAGTGTTTCTCAACCTTGGCCACTTGAAGATGTCCGGACTTCAACTCCCAGAATTCCCCAGCCAGCATTCGCTGGCTGGGGANGGGAAGAATTAAGGAAGGAAGGAATGAAAGAGGAGGGAGGGAAGAAAGGAGGATGGAGGGAGGGAGGAAGAAAGGAAGGAAGGAAAAAGGAGAAGGAAAGAAACCAGAAGAGAAAGAGTGGGAGGGAGGGAAGAATTAAGGAAGGAATGAAAGAAGAGGGAGGGAAGAAAGGAGGGAGGGAGAAAGGAAGGAAGGAAGGAAGGAAAAAAGGGAAGGAAGGAATCAGAAGAGAAAGAGTGGGAGGGAGGAAAAGAAGAATTAAGGAAGGAATGAAAGAAGAGGGAGGGAAGAAAGAAGGAAAGGAGGAAGGAAAGAGGGGAAGAAGGAAGGAATCAGAAGAGAAAGAATGGGTCAGAGGGAAAGAAGAATTAAGGAAGGAATGAAAGAAGAGGGAGGGAAGAAAGAAGGAGGAAGGAAGGAAAGAGGGGAAAGAAGGAAAGAGGGGAAGAAGGAAGGAAACCAGAAGAGAAAGAGTGGGAGGGAGGAAAAGAAGAATTAAGGAAGGAAGGAAGGAAAGAGGGAGGAAAGGCAGAAGGAATGGAGGAAGGAAGGAAAGAGGGGAAAGGAGAGAGGAAGGAAAGAGGGGGAGAAGGAAGGAATCAGAAGAGAAAGAGTGGGACAGAGGGAAGGAAGAATTAAGGGAATGAAGGAATGAAAGAAGAGTGAGGGAAGAAAGGAGGAGGACAGAAAGAGAAAAAGGGAGAGAGGGAGGGAAGGAAGGAAGCCATTTGTCTAACATGGCCTAAGGTTTCCTGCTTGAGCAGAGAGTTGAACCAGAAGCCCTCCCGCTCTCTTCTGATTGATTGATTGATCGATCTTACCTGTTTCAAGGCATTCCCATGGACACTCTTCAAGACGCACTGAAATGGCACCGATGGCTGCAGCGGCAAATTTGCCCTCCGGATGTTACGCGGAGGTACGGCCAGGCTTTGGCGGAAGATCTTGTGCCATTCTCCCATCCTGGGGGGGGGGGAGAACCAGGTGTGGGTTGGCACCGTGCGTTTCACTTCGGTTTCTGGGCTTCAGACTCAAAGCGGTTGTTTTGCGAGTGGGGAAAGAAATCCCTTTCGCTTCATTCCTGGGAGAAAAGAGTAGGCTTGAGTTAGGAAAGCTGAATCATCAAGAAACCCGCTCCATCTGAAGGTTTCTTCACCTCGGCAGCTTGAAGACGGGTGGACTTCAACTCCCAGAATTCTCTCCATGCTCTCTTCTCCCCCTCCTCCCCATAGTGGAGAGATTGCAGCGAAAGGGATTAAGAGGAGAAGAGGAGATTAAGAAAGGGATTCTCCGGGAGGGACTCAGGGCGGCATACAAATAAACTAAATCTCAATCTCATTCCTTTATTTCCACTGTGGCTTACTCTCCTCTTAATCCCTTTCGCTGCTCTCTTCTCCCCCCCCTCCCCATAGTGGAGAGATTGCAGCGAAAGGGATTAAGAGGAGAGTAAGCCACAGTGGAAATAAAGGAATGAGATTGAGATTTAGTTTATTTGTATGCCGCCCGTCTCCGGGAGGGACTCGGGGCGGCGAACAACTCAGGAGGGGAAAAAGGGGGGATACAGACACAATACACGTAATTAAAATACACAAGAGTCATACAGCCATACAAGTCGAGAGGGGAGGGGAACTCATCAACCCCAGGGAAATTAGCACCAGGGAAATTGAAGTCTGCCCATCTTCAAACCACAAAGAGGGGGGGGGGAGAGAAACTTCTGGTCTAGAAGTTATTAAAAAGGACCAGCTTCCAAGTCAAACCTCTCCCCCCCACCCCCCAAAAAAACCCCTCTGACATTTGTAGAGAGGTGACCGTTTGAAGGACAAGTCTTCCTACGCAAAAGGGCTGTCGAATTTCAGCTCTTAATTTAGTTGCTCATTTGACACTTCTTCTTTTTTTGCAAGGTCAGAATGATTCAGAGATTTCGCAGGGGGGGGGGAGCTGAAGGGAAGCTGACTTCATCAGAAAACGGATCATCCCAAGAAGAAAAAAAGCAAAATAAAAGGTCCCTCAAAGCCATCTGCAAAAAAAGAAAAAGAGAAAAAAAATACGCCAAAGAATTAACCCTAATCTATAGGCAATTTTTTATTTTTTGCATTTACTGGACGGAATGAGTCACCTTAACAGGCACGGAAATTCCCCCCGTGTAGTAAATTATACTATTGAATAAATACATTACCGTTATCCTTTGGAGTATAAGACGCACCTTCTCCCCCCCCTGAAAAGAGCGTAGAAATCTTGGTGGGTTTTATACACTGAATACAGCCACTTTTGGCCTCCCGAAGCCCCCATCCCATTTTTGCAAAAAAAAAGTAGGCAGTTTTTTTTGCAAAACAACGGGGTCTTTTCCCCCTTCCCCCAGCCCTTCTGAAGCCTGCAGAGGGCTCCTGGGGGCCCGGGAGGACAAAAACTCTTTTTTTCTTACTTACCTCTTCGAAATCTGGGTGCGTCTTATACACCGGTGCGTCTTATAGCCTGAAAAAAAATACGGTAAATTGTTCCGCGGAACGGCCGGCCCCTGGAGGCTGTGGGGCGGAAGGTTTGGAAGGAGAGACTGGACAGCCATGTGTCTGAAATGGGACAGGGCAGGGATGGGTGCCCAACAGGGAGCATGTGCGCTCGTCACTGCCCAGGGCGCATGGATGTGCCGGGGAAAAACTCCCAGTGTCCCGGAACTGCCACGCGCACGAAGGACAGCCGATCGCCGTGCATGCATGCGTGCCAGAAAGCAGGAAGAGGAACGGATGACGGCGCGGGTGCCAGGCAACATGGCTCCATGTGCCACTTTGGGCATGCGTGCCACAAGTCTGCCGTCATTCTCCTAATCGAGCAGAGGGTCAGACTAGAAGACCTCCAAGGGCCCTTCCCACTCGTGTTATTTGGCTTCCTTGTCCTCTTTTCTGGAGATAAGGATACTTGAGCGAAGTAGCCCCTCGCACACGGGTGTGGTCGAAGGGCACTGTCAGGAGAAGCGCACCGCCGGGTTGGCGTTCGGGATGCAGCTTCGAGACCTCCCAAACTGCAGGAAGGTGTGATTCTCTTCCAAATCGGAGAGAATCTGAAACAGGCAGCTAACCTCACCCGTCTCTCTGCCCCAAACACAAAACCCACAAGCTGCACCTTCGGATAAAATATATGTAACAAGACCCTTGTTGCTGTTGGCTGCGAAGTCGTGTCCGGCCCATCGCGACCCCCTGGACCACGTTCCTCCAGGCCTTCCTGTCCTCTCCCATCCTCTGGAGTCCATTGAAGCTCACACCGGCTGCTTCGGTGGCTCCATCCAGCCACCTCCTTCTCTGCCGTCCCCTTCTTCTTCTTTTGCCTCCATCGTTCCCAGCTTTGGGCTCTTCTCCAGGGAGTCCTTCTTCCTTCTCATCAGGTGGCCAAAGTCTTTGAGTTTCCTCTTCAGGATCTAGGACCTTCTAAAGAGCAGTCAGGGTTGATCTCCTCTAGGCCTGACCGGTTGGATGGACTTGCAGTCCAGTGGACTTGCTGGATGGATGGATGGATGGATGGATGGATGGATG